ACCCTGTTTTTCCTTTTATTGGCAAGATTTTCCCCCATTAATTTTATAAACTCCCTTGGTATTTTTTGTTGTTTTTTATGGGTTGTTACTCTATCTCTTTTAAAAGCCTCTTATCCATTAAAGGCTCCCCCTTGGGCCCCCCCCCCCCAAAATGAAATAAACCCCCTTTGTCATTTAATATTAGATCATTTACGGTTATTCTATATCATTCTCCAGGAGAAGATGCAGCGTTTGGCCCTGAGACGTCATCTTGATCAACTAAGTGAACAAGTCCTAGAGAAGGGTTACCTAGTGTCACAGTTTCGGTAATAACTCAACATAAAAACAGGGTGCCAAGAAAGTTACTACAGCTTATCCTTCGGGCAAGCTGTAGCTAGCATGTACTTGCCCAAGAGTTATTTTAACTAGCCCGAAAAACATTTTGATGGCAGCAAGAATGATTGCCCGTTGGGCAAGTTAAGAATAGAATTCATTACCAAGATCGCAAAATCCACTTTAGAACCCTGGGCTATTGCACACAACTTTCTTTGCATGCTGGTCAACTGTCATCTGAAGGCTGGAGAACCAGCTTGAATTAATGAGAATGCAAGTTACACTTGATCAGACTTTACTTGAAAGAATTCTGCATTGCAAACTAAAAATAAGGACTAACAGTCACTGAACATAATTCATTAAAGTAAGGACCTCATCTCTAAAATGTGAGTACCATTAACCCCAACACCTCAGAGTTTTTGTGGACATCTTTCAATGATGAGCACATCACAGGTAACACCATAGGTTTGGTGCTATTTCTGAAAAATTGTGTATAAATCTGAAAGAACATGAAGTGGAGTCATCAAAACTACAGCAATCCTTGATCATGACTTGCCAGTTTTTTTCTTACAGTGAGGAACTGAAAAAATGCCAGGAACACGTAGAGGAACTACAACAAGATAAAGATGCAGTCAGCAAGGAGATTGAAGAAGCACAGTCTCAAACCAATATGTAAGCAAGGGCACTGCTTCAAACTTTATCGCGCTTATTCTGTCTCATTAATTCATCAAATGTTGGCAATTTTCTCTGGAGTTGAATTCTAAAAGACTCTATCAAAGTTCAGGAAAAGGAAAAGAAAGTTGTAGTCTTGTGTTCACTTCATCCACAAAACATGAAATTAGGCATTTTCACATCTTAGTCGTGCAGTGACGGCAAAGAAATGTGCGATCAAAAGGGGTGTTGCATGTGCAGAGCTGTTGTTTTGCCAATCTAAACCTTTGTTTTTTGCCATTCTCGTTGACGTTGCCATCGTCATTGCTTAAGCTCCCTAACATTGACAGATGTAGAGTATACTTGCTTAACAATATCCAGTACTACCTACATAATAAACTTTATTTGGTATGTACCTGTGTTTAATCTTATTTGTTGCAACAGGGCATCACTATACAGACTGCAGGCTTATCACTCCAAACTCTGTGCAGAGATAGATGCTGAAAATGATGTACAGAAAGAAATTTTACAGAGGCTTCAAGAGGCAGAGTAAGCAACTATATAACATGCATGTGTAATATTATTTTGGTGTATATCTCGTGCCCTAGCCTGGAAAAAAGCTGCTATTTTGCAATGCTTCCACTGGTTTCCCTGCAAAATGGTGTCTGTGGAACAACTGCAGAAATTCCATACTGATGATCATTCATTCGGCATATGACAGCCATTCAGCATTCTGCAAAATACACCTGCCATAAAGTTACTGGTAAATGCATGCATTTAAACACTTTATTGTTTCTGTTTGATATAGATTTGCCCTTGCTCAAGCCACTGTTGAACAAGGAAAGTTCCTTCTGGCGGGAAAGGAACTTGAAAAAGAAGAAAAACTTGTGGAGAAACAAAAAGCTGATGTGGCTGCTGTCCGTTTGCGAAAGGAAAACATGAGCGCTGTTGTGTCTGAGAGGAGAAGGAGGGCAAGGGAAAAGTAAGAAACAATAGTCACCTCTCCCTCTTTCAACAACTGCAATCAATTTAATTCCTGAAAGATTCTAGTCAACTCCTTCATGGTGGACACTCTAGGGACCTCGAGTTACTGTCCTCTTTAGCGAGAGTCTCTAGTAGCGGGAGTTTTTATCAGTCAAACGTCTGTATTTTGTTTTTGCCCGGGATTTATCTACTGTCCGTTTTTTTCTGGGTGTCCGTTAATGTGGGGTTTCCACAAGTCAAGAGTTGTCTGTATTGTCATATACTGCAAAATATGCAACACTAAGAAACCCTTTAAACCCTAAGATAAAAATTTGAATTCTCATTTGTTGCCCCTATTCATTTCCTACAGAAGTAGTGGGGAGAAGTTGATAAAATATCAAGCAAATTCATCTTGTGTGATCATGTCCATAATTCTCATGACCACTCT